GACAAGGATAGTAATATAAAAAAAATAAAAAGATAAAAGACTGAGTCACAAGCGAATCAAAAATTCAAGAATTGAGCCATACTAATTTATAATTGAGGAACTGAGTTATAGATAAGTTAAAAGTTGAAGAACTAAAAAATTAATTTTTCTTAAAATTTATCTGGGGTGAAGCAACTGATAGGGGTGTTCATGAGACAGGAATGGAAGGGGACCGTCCCGATATCCCATCTGGTGCCAAAGGCATGGACATAACTAGGACAGGAATATCCTATCCCAAAATGACTTGGACCGAAACGGGATGTCAAGACGGGACACGTACAGTTGAACGCGCTTAGCAACTAGGACCACATCAACTAGCAGAAATCGAACTGCACCTTTTCCCTCCCTTCCTCTTTTTGAAGCCCAAAAATTGGAGAATGTATTGAATGGGCCTAATGTTAAAAAATGGGCTATTGAATGCTTAGGCAAGCGGTTTTAAATGAGCTCCTCTACAATTAACTTCTAATAAAAACGGGTTGAGTCTAATAAAAGAGGTCAACATCTCAAGTCAAGGATTGGTCAAATGCAGGTCGGAACAATAATTTAGTAGTTTGTTGTCTCCAAAAATATTTAGAAGTTTGGTTGTTAGCTTTTTGTAATTCTGATTTAGCATATTAATAAAAATATCAATTATTATAAATATATATTTGCAACATGTTGAAACTGTTGCTTACGGGTATGTTTGGATTGACGTTGGGCAAAACTGACTTCTAACCCAACTGACTTTTGTAACTAAAGTTAGAGTAAAAGTCAATTAGTGTAATGCAATTTATGTTTGGATAGATGCTTTTAAAAAGTTAGTTGAAAAAGTTAAAAGTTATTTGGATGATTAATAGAAAAGTTAATTTAGTTATAAAATGACTGAAAAGGATATGGAGTATTGTTTGAAATTTTATATTTTTAATGTAATAATAATTTAAAGAAACACATAAAATTATTATGATAAAATATAAATAGTTTATTTGTAAAATTATAAAATAAAAATATTTGTTACGGAGAAAAATTTGAAAATATATTGTATATAATTAATTAAATATACATAATGAACAAACATAAATATAAATTAAAATTTATTTGGTCTCTAATTAAAGTAAATAGAATCACATAACTAATTAGATCGTAAGCTTTGCACAATTTTCCATAAGTCAGTTAGAAAAGTTGATCCAGATTGCGTTGGATAAGTCAGTTAGAAAAGTTACTTTTTTTCATAAGTCAGTTAGAAACGAAGCTCAATCCAAACAATCTTCTGAGTTGCAATAAGCTACAAACCTCAGTTTCACGTTTCCCCGTGTGCTTTTGGCATTCCAAACAGCAATCCAAACGAGCCTTACATGCCTGGGGCACAATCAAAAAGCTGTTGCTCATTGAATGTTTAAGCAACAATTGTACAATGTGCCTAATAAGAGCAACACTTTAAGTTGCAATATACTCTTCTAGTTCTATTTATAGAACAGAGAGAAGACATTTTTATGTCCTATTTATAGGAACTAAGAGAAATTTTCTGTATGGGTGTACAATTTTACCCTCTATTTATCATTGTATTAACTTTATTTACATTAGGTATAATATATACTACCTCCAGTCCTAATTATAAGAGCCAGTTGACTAATTTGAAGAGATTAAGGAAGTAAGTTGAGTTAATTATTTGTCCTAAATAAGTGTTGTCTTTCCTAAAATATCCTTGCTAATCAAGTGTATTGACTAGAACTCTTATTATTAGCAGGGCTACTTTGGAAAAAAAAAGTATAAATATGAGAGACAAAGTGGATTGGGGTCTTATATTTAGGGCCAAAATAAAAGTCAAATAGGGTCTTATATTAAGGACCGGAGGTAGTATTAAAAAAAGCTAAAGTTGAAAACTTGTTGAATTTTAAATAAGAGTTAATGAAGTTTAAGGTTTTTCTTAGTCTATATGAAACATGTAGGAAATGACTTATAAATAGGACCAGAAGAGTATAGGTTTTCCCTTTGAATCACAGGGAAAGATATCTAATGGTGCTTCAAACAGGATTACCTTCACCAGAAGGATACCCATACTTAGCAAAATATATATATATATATATATATAATTTCCCAAAAACCGTGGCCTATTTTCATGGTTTCAGGTTACAATATGTATTTTCTCAAAAATATATATTTTCCCAAAAACAATAGGGAACGCTTGAGTTGGAATCACAAGAAAATTAGTCTTTAGCCACATTTGTTAATTGTTCCTACATAACAAAAATGTTGTAATGTGCTACTTCCTTCCCTGAGCTTCGATTTTTTTTTTAAAGATAGATTTGACCTTTTTATAAACTACATTTTGGAATATATGAATATTTAATTTATTTTTTATTTTTATCATTAATTAATGATATGTCCCCCTCATCTCTTTTTTCTTTCACTCTTTCTCTCTCCCAATTACAATCTCCATAAATAAGTGTTTTGAAAAATAAGTTACTTTTTTTACATATTTATTATCTTTAACTAACTTTAATCAATTTTTAAGCTGTGTAATTTAGTTATTTAAAACTTATAAAAACAACTAAATGGAGTACATAGCTAATGAATGAGGAGATGTGTGTGTGTGTGTGTAACATTTGACAGCACCATTTGTTTAGGCTGAAAAACTTTTCTTAGCTAATGAATATCTTGTTGAAGTGAGAAGCCCTATAATACCATAAGCATGATATTGCATGTTTCATTTGGGGGAAAAAAAGGTGAGGGTGCCAAGTGCTAATTATTCTACAGCACGTTATTGAATTTTAAGACATCAGTTGCTCATTTGCAAATAATTAGAGGATAAAAGTACTCCTAGTTCAAAACTTTCTCAGTCCAAACATATGTGCAAACAACAATGAACATCATTTGATCATTTGCTTAGGACAACATTGCAACGACTTTAATAATAATTGAGAGGCAATGTTACTCCAACAATTGGTATATAATGAACCCATACTAGCTCTCTTCATAAGAAACTTCAAAGATAAGAATACATCTTAATCCTTAAATATATAAGTTTATTGTTTGTGTATATGTGTTGCCAACATTAGTATGTTTTATATATATATTGAGCAAAAATACACTTATATTGTATATTAAAAATATGGATATTACATATATCTGTACCCGTGTGTCCATTCCCACAGTTTGAAATTCAAAATTTCTTAATTGATCAGTTAGTATGGCATGTAATAAATTGACACTTTACAAGAGTTGTGATGTTAAAGGATATGATATAGCCATACACAGCCCTTTGTTTGATTAGTGGGTGACGCGTAATTTTGTTGGCTTGTTGAATGGCTCTTTCTATCCCTTCTAGAACTTCACCATCTTTTAGGTCCAACCACTACGCGCTTTCCTCGCCTCTTTCTGTCTTAGGTTTACTGTTTCGAAGTTTCCATGAATTTCACGTACGGAAACACGCATTGAAATATACAGTATTTCATATATTTTATATTAATTCTGGTGCTTAATATAAAAACTAGTAAAAAATTATATTTGATCTTAAATATAAGACATCAAATTTATAATAATTCTTCTAAAATCTTTCTATTGATTCTGAGGATGCTTTATTGCATAGGATAAAAAAAATGATAGTTTAGAAAAGTCAACACACATTTATTACGATTAACCAATTTAACTAATTTTTTTAATTTTTATAAATTAGTTATTTAACTCTTATATTAAAGATCAAAGCTAGTATTACATACTATACAAAGGGGAGAATTCCAATAAGATTTCAAGGAAGTAACATATTCACAGAAAAGTCCAATATAGCTTATGAACAGTTTGTAATGACAAGCTGTATAATAGAAATAAATGACAACAGGTTTTAACTGCTCACTACTTGTCATTAGAATATTTTAATAATTATTTTTCTACTTTGGGATTATATAAAATACATGTAATGTTTTAATATTCACAATTATAAACAGAATCTTTTGAGTCTACAATAGGAGGAGAGAAACAGAAAAGAAATCTCTCATCTTTCCTTCCCATCCTCTTCTTTTCTCTTTCTATTTTACCCTTTAATATTTTAATGGTTGAGATTTTAATTCTTTTAAAATTATTATTAAAATAGTAAAATTAATTTCTTTAATATCATAAAAAGTTTTTTTTTTCAATTTTGCGCTATAGATAAATAACATTCGCAATATTTCATGTATAATAAATAGCTCAACCCACATGAACCAAAACAGAATAAAAATAAAAGTTACATCAGCAATTGTTTGTCAAAAATGTTTTACAGTACAAGCTAAGGCGTGATTTTAAAAGTGTTCTTCATCATTTTTATAAGCCATTTGAAAATTTTAAGGAGTATTGAATTTTTTTTCATACATATTCATATGTAATTTAATAAGGATAGATATAGCAAAAATTAATATAATGTTAAAATTTAATGTGATGAATGAAAATAATATTGAAAATCACTTAAATTGTACAAATTTAATGTTTCTAACTATTTTTTATCTGTAAATTACTTAAATATGACATATATTTAGAACCAAATAATGTATTGATTTATCTCAAGTCTCATGAGATTTCCTTTTTTATGTGCATTATATTATATCAGCGCAAGTATTAAGAGAGCTTGCATCATTGTTGTTGAAGATTTATTAGAAAGTGATGTCAACTAACTTTCAAATTGAATTTTAAAATGCACAAATTAAATTATATATTTCCTAAAAATAAAATTTGACAATTTATTTTCAAAACACACGGCATATTTCTTAATTAATTAGGACGCTTTTAGGGGATTATATCTTGATTATTTCATATTTCCACAATGTCTTACAAACAAATATAATAATATATGATGACTTAATCAATAAGAAATTATCAACAAAAATATAACTATAAATAGCTTAGCTTCCCACATAAACCCTCAACAACCAAAGCAGTAGACATACTTCATTATCATTTGAAATACCTTCCCTTTATATACAGTCATTTTCATCTATATTAACAAAACCACCATGTCCGGCCGCCGCCACCGTCACAAAGAAAATCCGGTCGGCGCGGTCGATTACAAAAAGAAAGAAAAGTATCACAAGCATATGGAACGGGTGGGGAAATTAGGAGCTATTGCTGCTGGCGCCTTCGCACTGGTAACTAAATAATATACTCTCAATTCATTCAATTAGATTTTATATTAAAAATAAGAAGTAATATAAAAATAGAAAAAATTATAATAAGGTCCCATCCAAGAGAATTAACTACAAAAAGATCCGTTAAAATCATCAAATTATTCTGACGTCCTAAAGGACCTCATTTAATTACCAAATTGTTCTTTTTTTTTTAAATATGTATTGACAACTGAAAGAGCAATCGTTAACAACTTAAGGTGTAATGATTAACAACTATCATGGCAGGTATTAACAACACATTTTCTCAGCACATCACCAAAATGTAATGCATGAATTATCAATATCTGCCATGATAGTTGTTAATCGTTACACCTTAAGTTATTAACTACTACACTTTCAGTTGTTAATGTATGCTTTAAAAAAAAGATAAGGGTAATTTGGTAATTAAACAAGTGAAATCTTTTGTAATAAGATCTTTTGAGATTTCAGAATAATTTGATGATTTTAAGGGAGCTTTTTTTATTTAATTGTCTTTGGTGGGACCTTATTGCAATTTTCCCATAAAAATATCATTCAACACAAATTAATCTGCAGTTAATCATTAGTTAATTATTACTCATAATCATGATTAATTTGAAGAAACAATGCAATGAAATTGTTTGTGTAGCATGAGAAGCACGAGGGGAAGAAAGACCCAGAACATGCACAGAGCCATAAGATAAAGCAGGAGATTGCAGCCACTGTTGCAGTTGGAGCTGGAGGATATGCGTTTCATGAGCATCACAGGAAAAAAGAAGCCAAGAAGAAATACCAAGAGGCTAATGGAACGAAGCATCATCGCTTTTTTCATTGATTTTAACTTATATAGGCAAAAGTGCATGTTTGGTCTTTCTAACTTTATACAAGATTTTGATTCGATCTCTCAATTTTAGGAAGTATCTTTTCAGTCTTCAAAGCCTAACACCTTCGTCTCAAATAAATAGTGAATATTTTTTTGTAACAACCATTGTCATTTTTGATATGTCATCATTTAAGAATGTTTTGTCAATGTTAATGACATTAGGGCTCAAGGACTGAAACAACACATTATAAAATTATGGGATTAAAATGAAGTCTTATGTAAAATTAAAGAACTAAATGTATGTTTCGACAAATAATGATATGTATATATGTACACATGCATGAGGTATGTGTCATGCGTTTGTAGATGGAATCTCCATTCTTCTCTTGATTTATTCTGTTTTGTACTATGCTCTCGTGATTTGTACAAGGCAGCGCTACTACTTCAAAGTCTGTGTGAAAAGAAATTAGGAGAGGAGCTGAGAATTCATATTTGGATGATAACATATAGTCTGTGATTTACTTTCGGATTATTAATAATAAATTGTTGTGTTGTGTGTATATATGCCTCATCATCGTTTGTTTAATAATATGTGTGTGATTTATTTGTATGCCTTTGTACACAATTACAATAGAATATATATCTATATATATATATATATTTGTAAAATTATATGTGCCCAGTGATATCCCAAACCTTTAAACATATTGTAAGATAGGAACGATACATAATGGTAGTTTTGTCATTGGCTAATCGCAATGAATATAACAGCTACCAATACAATATTTTTTTGGTTTGCTTCTTTTAATTAATTTCCATCAAGGACGTCATCAAAAAAGAAAGAAAGAAATAACATAAGATGACGATGGACACTAATTACTTAGAGATAGATACTGCTTTAAACAATTTTAATTTCATATATTATTATTCAATTTTATTAATGTTACTGTTGGCTCTTAATTAGGTAATCATTTAATTTGCTTATTGCAAGTAAATTAGTTTGTAAATCATTCTAAGTTCGTTGGCCGAAGAAAAATAAGATCTAGACAATTAAGAAAGAAATCTGAGTTTATTATTTCCATCTTTTACTTTGCTCTCTCTCTCTCTCTCTATATATATATATGTATCAAATTAAATCCAAAGTATGAAACAACGTAAAGCAGAAAATGCAGAGGACCATATATTTTTAAAACTTTATTGACCAAAATGGACGAAACACACAGATATATATATATATATTAAGGAGCTGTATTGTTAAAAAGTGGTGAAGAAGAAGCAGGGGAATGTATGATATCTTGTTCATCTTCGTCACAATATCCCAGCAGTACCTCAGCCTCTTCCACAGTAAACCCTAGTGAGCTGAGCATCGCCGGCCAACAGTCATGGCCGACGACCCTTATTGCCCGGCAACAGCCCGGACCCAGGTAAGTTTCTCCGTTCAGAAAGAATGATATGACCTCACCGGTGCATGCTTGTAGCTGAAACAACGAGTCCCAGCACTTGTTGGATTCCCCACCGCCGGCAGCGTCTCCATCTACTTTCAACCGAGCCGCCAGCATCTCACCATGGTGGTTCCGTGGCGGTGACCACCGTGCCGCAACAGTAGTACGGCAAGCTAGAGACAGAACAGCAAGGAGGAGAGTGAGAGTGAAGAGTTTGTGGGTGGTGGAAGCCATTAATATTAGAGTTATCAGAGAGAGAAATAATAATGGAAAATTAGATTAGATGGTTTTCTCAAGAGAGTTCAGAGATAACAGCTTGGTAGGGTTTTATATATATATTAATTAGTAAGATGTTGATAAAATAAATGTTTGGTGTGAATGATGGGAAGGTTAAAGAGAAATGAAACGGATGCGTAAAACCGGCAATGAATGATGAATAATAGTGTGAATTAATATTATATGTAACGTAAAATAATAAGTGTTATAATTTCCACTAATTAATTGCTGTGCAGTAGGACTTTAGTTAGTTTAGAGGCTTCTGGAATTCCTATAATTAAATGAATCTTAATTGTTCATGTGTGTGTGTACACGTAGCGTATATAAAATAAAATGGAAAAAATTAACAATCTATGCCCTCACCATATAACGTCCATTTTTTCCTTTACTTTATTTAGGCAACTTGGCGGCTTACTATGCGAGACATATAATAGATGTTCATAAAAATTAAGGGGAAAAAAAGATCATGTCGTTGGCTAAAAAGGAGAAAAAAAATTATGTATGACACAACTTTTTATTTCAGTATAATTATGCATATTTGTTAATGAAAAAACTATGTTGGAGGAGATTCATCATTGGTTTAAGCTAGAATCTATATTGATTATTGAATATGATATGAGAATATTCTTCTCCAAACGTGCGCATGCCTAAAAATTAAAAAACTTTCAATTTAAGATTAAAAGAATATGATTTACTTTTTATTAGATGAGTACAAATTACGCTTAGGGGCAATCAACAAGAAATCAAATCATACAGAAATGATAAAATAAAGAAGGCCTTGGCCCTGAAAATGCTATGAGGTGCTCGGTGATTCACCATATTATAAAGGACTAGTTCTTCCTGCTAGACATAACTTTTATTGATTAATAAACTTAGAATATACGCATTTTATAGGGACTTATTCAAGTGTCTCATCTACCCAAAAATTTTCTTGACGGTACAAAACTATATTAAAATTGTATCATATAATATACCATGTTATTTTTGTTTTTTCATATGCTAATATTTTTTTTATCAAAATTGTTAAAAGAAATATGTTCTATATAATTTTCAAACCTGAATTTCAATACATGCTCCTTGGTGCTACTAGAATAAAATTCAAATTCCAAATTTTAAGATTTTTTATTATTATAAATGCAAGTTTCATACAAAATATTACCTCTGCAAAAAGGAAAAGGACCCCGAAAAGATACTACCTCTGGTCCTAAATATAATATCTCGTTTATAGACTACAAAGAAGATCTTATATTTAGAACTGGATGTAGTATTTAGAATCAAACGAAGTTCTCTATGATGTATCAACAAAGAAAATTTATGCTTTTCAGATCAAATTATCCAAAATTAACGGCTTTTTTATCCATCCACTACAAGTAGTATAAAAAAACAAAATACTACACCATCAAAAATATTTACCCAAATGTTATACTTAGGGGGTGTTTGGTATTAGACAAAAGTGTTTTTAAAAAGTATTTTTTTTATAACTTAAGGCAAACTCATTCACATATATATTTTGTATATCATAAAATTACTTCTAAAATTATGATTTAGTTTTCATCCAAACACTCTTTCAAACTCGTTCAAGGCTATAACAAATTCAAAAAATTTATGATTTAGTTTCCATCATACAACTGATGTGACATCATTTTTATAAAAAAAAATTGGAAAGCAGACTCATTCGCTTTCAGTATGCGACCGCGTTCACTTTCATCATCTGCACTCCTCGTCTCGCATAAAGATTCACAGGATAAATGGCCAAACAAATTAAATTTACGAAAAAAAAGAGGTGTGGACTAAAGCATACCAAGACCAATGATATGTTTTAAGGATAAATATTGTTATAATTTTTAGTATAAAATAATGCCTAAGTTTCTTAAAATAATTATTATAATATTTCTATTCATAAGTTGAATGAGCGGAGAGACATGAGACTAGGTTCTTGAGTTTTATTTTTTAAATTTTGCTTACAAATAAAATCATTAGTTAAACACATATTTCCGGACATCAGCCTCCATATTCAAATAGCTTGTTTTTCCATTGGTTTTGATACGTTCCAATCTACACCTTCTTCGTAAATTTAATTTGCTTGGCCATTTATCCTTTCATCTGTGAATCTTCACGCAAGACGAGGAGTGTAAAGGATGAAAGTCAACTCGTTCACATACCGAACAAGTTTGCTTTCTTTTTCCTTTTTCTTTTTTTTTTTTTGAAAAAGTGAGATCACATCAGTTGTACGATAGAAGTCAAGAACGACTTCTACGTAAATTTGAACCCATTTCAACCTTAAGCGAGTTCAAGTGTAGCATTTAAATAAATATTTTTCGTGGCGTAGCATTTTGGTTTTTTTTTTTTTATAACTATTTGTAGTATATGGATTAAAAAGCCGTTGATTCTCTGTCCAGTTTTGTCATGGACAAGAAAAGAGAGCTTTCATATCATAAATGTGTATTCACAAAACTGCTAAATAATTATCAAAGGATCATTTACATCCCTTTTTCCATTTCATCCTGAAATAAAGGTAAATATATTGCATCAACAAAGCTCAGTAATCACACGCTCACACTTCTCTTCCAGAATTTTGACAGCTTCAATAAAGAGTACTTCAGGTGGTAATGCTCCAGTTGACTCAACATTAACTGGAGAATAACAGAAAAATCTCATTAGTGATTTTGAATAATTTTAAGTTTACAATGCAGACAGACTGAAGCATCTCTTTATCACTAGCATATGGCAGCCACAACAACTCAAAGATTCCTAGGATGCATTAACAAGTCATTTTCAATGATATTTCAATTAAAAAAATGAATTGAACATATAAGAGATAAATCCTTAATATAAGAGATAAATAATTAATTTGAAGATATTAAAAAAATTAGTTAAGTTAATTATTTGTAACAAATGTGTCTTGACTTTCCTAAACTACCCTTCTTCATCATTAGAACTACTCTTTAGTAAAAACCTCTTATAATCGATATGGATATTTTGGGAAAAAATTTATAAATTTGGAAGACAGTAGATTAAAATCTTATATCTAAGACAAAATCCAACTCCCAACTAGTTCTTCTATTAACACCAAAAGTATTATTAAACTATCCTGTGGATCATGTGTTTCTCATGTAAGCTGATATAATTACTTTGGAGTCTGGGTCATGTGCTGCTTTAGGCAATCATAATTACTTCTCAATCGCCCACAACTAAAAAAAGGTAGTCACCTCAAATATAAAAGATGATACCTTGGTGCTAGTTTTATGTTAAAATTTCAATAAACTCAAACATCTCACACAGCACTTACAAATAAAATGATCTTTAACACGGCGCAAGGACACACAATCCTCCCATTCTTTTCCCCCTCTGATGCCTTCCCTATAGAGAGTACACGCTCGAGGGTTGGCAACAGTTGCCCTTCTTCCACCTACTCAACAGCCAATCTAGCAAAGCAAGAAAGTATTAGAGATAAAGAAAGTTGAGACCACATTGTAATCCCCACCTAAAACCACTTGCGTAGAACGCAAGTTAGGCATGGATGCAAAATTAGCTTTCCATAGGGCTAAATCATGGACCCTATAATCCTCAACTATCATAGTCAACCAATGCATAATCCGGTGCCAGTGACGTTATTAAAAAATAAAATTAAAAAAAGCCCAGACGAACTACCTTTTCCAACATCTTCAATATCAAATACTCCAACTGGACATTTATTTTTGAGTTCTTCAGCAAGCTCATCCTTAACCTCTTTCAAGAGAACGACCAAGAGGAAGAAAATAAGGCAAGCATACGAATGTCAGGTTTTTGTATTTCTATTGCAGTGTTTGAACGTGAGCGTTTTGCATCTGATACAGTATATTCCTTACCTCTGGAAGCATCCGATGCCAAGCAGTGGCAACTGGGGACCATTTCGCATGTGTCTTACCAATTCCTTTAACTGCATGAGCTTCAAGTTCAATTTCCTACAGACACACATGGTAATGAATATGGTATTTGATAATATCTACTCTTCTGTCTCAAATTGGTCTGATTCCTGAGACCTTTCAATGTTCATATTTTTTAACATAAAGCAAAGGAATGGTTCAGAAACAAAACAAAAATTGCTATTCATGCTCCAAATTTAGTAATATCAAGCCTTCTATCTTAATGTGTTCTAACTGCTAGACCTTGCATCACAATAAATGCTCAAAAGATAATACTTTACGTTCATCTTCCAAGCATAAAACAGGAAATATACAGGAATTTGAACATCACATTAAACAAAAAAAAAAAAAAGTATACTCAAGCTGCAAAGAGAAGACATTGGTACACAGTGAACATAGCTAAACCGGGCAAAAGTCCTCAATAATAACAATAAGAGGAAGCAATAGACGATTTCAGTCTTAATAGATCCGAGGGTCTTGCAAAACGAGCAAGTGGTTAAGCCTCTCTCTCTGGAAGAAGTAGAAGAGAAACAAGACAAATTGTTGTTTAGAAATTTTATCAAAAATGCACATCAAGATCATGGGTATTCTTCAGAAGATGCGCATACCACTTTGCTGAGACAGGTGCATGAACCCTGCAACTAAATTCCTAGAGCACATGCACATGTGGGAGTAGATTTTTCTGTCCAGAATCGTTTCCTCTCAAATTACCGAAGCCCCAGCTATTTGAAGGTCCGTGTACAGATTTATTAGCATCTAACACACCCACACGCAAATGCTCCTAACCCTAAGGCTCGATGCATCAACTAAGGCATGCCCGTCAAATTTTGAATCCAAACTTGAAATTAATTTCCTAATAGGAGTCAGGTTTAGAGCTGCTGGTTCAAGTGCTAGACTTGATTAAAACTCAATCCAGGCTCAAAGAACATACTATGCACAGGATAACATATGTTAAATCTTCTTTTTCTTAGACACAAAACTCACACACATATACAATAAGGCATCACAGCTTACCTCCTTAAACCAGTTTCTTTGTTACAAAATATAAAGTAT